AGCTCACCAGCTGCACGTTCCAGCAGATGAGAGAAACCCCAAACAGGAAAGTGTGAGAGCCAAGGTGTGGTGGGCCACGCCGGGGGTGGGGGTGCCCGAGCTGGACAAGTGCCTGAGCTGACAGGAGCTTGGCAGGGGTCACCTGCGCCACATGTGGGACATCTTGGGAAGCAGGCCATGCCCAGAAGACAGAGGGCACAAGTGTGAACAAAATGGCAGCCCAACTGGGCACCTGAGGGTAGGCAGGCCTGGGCAGGAGGCCGGGGGCTGAGAGGCCGGAAGGGGCCTGCAGCGGGCCCCGCCTGGTGTGGTGGGGCTCAGAGACCTGAGAGGAGACGGGGCTGAGCCAAGGGCAGGGAGGGTGCGAGTGGTGCGGAGCCAGGGAGAGGCCAGAAGTTTTCAGGACCCCAGCAGGGAGGGGATGCCCACGTGGAGGGGTGCCGCAGCTGGCGCCGAGGCTGGGGCTGTGCGGTGGGCTGCCCCAGCACAGGCAGCCCTCCCTTGGACACGAGCAAGCTGAAGCCGTGGGTTCCGGGTGGCGCTCTGGCTGGCCTCGCTGGAGACCCCAGTCCTCACTCCCTTGGCCGGATCCTCTAGTCCCAGCCAGCAAGGGCAGAGCCAGCCTCCAGGGAAACCACAGTGCCCACGACCAGCCATGGAGGGAGAGTGTAACCAGCACAGCCCTGCTGCACCAACTTTCTCCTGGACCACTCCACGTGGCCCTACCAGACCCGCCGGAGTCACCAGGCTGAGCCCAGACGCGGCACCGGCACCGAGGTGATGTGGAATGTGCTTATTTGACCAGCCCTTCGCATTTCCATCAACGAGCACCCCTATAACTGGGAAAACATCTTCTAAGTGAGCTTCAGCGGAAACGTCCCTTCCCTGCTCTGAGACACAGTGGCTGATGGCTGGCCGTCCTTGGGTGTGACAAAGGAGCCAGAGTGGCCTCTGTCTGGGCAGCTCCCTGCCCCAAGAGCACCAGGCACCCACTGACACACTGACCACGGGAGACACGTGCCACACGGCGCCGAGGGCCTTCCCGCCAGGCTGCCGTGTGCACGCGTGGCTGAGTGTGTGCCCACCTTCGGGCTGCTGCCTGCCTGCGGGGGCACCCGCGGACAGCTGGCCCTGCCCCACTCCAGAACACCACACCAGACCCCACAGCTTGGGCGGGAGGTCCTGCCCACGCTCCTCCCTGGGAGCGGCACCTGCACTCAGTGGACAGCAGCATCAGGTGTCCCTGCCTGCAGCAGCCTGTCCTAGGGACCCCAGGCCTGCGCACACAGCCATCCAGGTGGAAGCCTGCTGCGCGGGATGCTTGCGTGGACTAGGGGTGGTGAGTAAAGGGCAGGGCCAGAGGCCAGGCCAGGCCTCCAGGGCCCCACACCTTCCACACACCTGGGCCAGCAGGTGGGCCTGTGTCCTCCATCCCCAGGAAGTGAGCGTGTGCGCAGCCCGACAGGCGGTCTCTACCCTGCATTGTTTTGCGTGCCTGTTACAGTGCTGCTTCCGGGCCAGCGGGCAGCATGGAGCTTAAAGGCCCTGGGTCTCACAGGGCCGGTGTGCAGTCTGAGGCCCAGACCTGGTGGCTTGAAAACACACCAGGCACACGTACGTGTGAGCCCCAAATCCTGAGACGGGCAAAATGGAGAAGGGGTTGATGGTGCCAGTCCCCGCGGCGCTTACTCGCTCCCTCTCCCCCTCCCTCCCTGTGTGCACACACCCTTTGGGGAATGAAAGCCAAACAAGGTGGAGCCCTGCGTCTGTGTCCTGCAGCAGTTGGCACAACGCCATGACAGCCAGTGCCAAGAGGCCCCACGTTGTGAGCCCTGCGTCCACACACCGTCACATCTCACATCTTCACGGGCACCCAAGGCCACTGCGGCAGGAACTGTGCCAAGCCAGACTCAAAGCTGGCAGACTGGCCCCCCCCCTGATGAAAGGGGAAAAAGGGGCCAGAGTGGCCACTGTCTGGGCAGCTCCCTGCCCCAAGAGCACCAGGCACCCACTGACACACTGACCACGGGAGACACGTGCCACACGGCGCCGAGGGCCTTCCCGCCAGGCTGCCGTGTGCACGCGTGGCTGAGTGTGTGCCCACCTTCGGGCTGCTGCCTGCCTGCGGGGGCACCCGCGGACAGCTGGCCCTGCCCCACTCCAGAACAGCACACCAGACCCCACAGCTTGGGCGGGAGGTCCTGCCCACGCTCCTCCCTGGGAGCGGCACCTGCACTCAGTGGACAGCAGCATCAGGTGTCCCTGCCTGCAGCAGCCTGTCCTAGGGACCCCAGGCCTGCGCACACAGCCATCCAGGTGGAAGCCTGCTGCGCGGGATGCTTGCGTGGACTAGGGGTGGTGAGTAAAGGGCAGGGCCAGAGGCCAGGCCAGGCCTCCAGGGCCCCACACCTTCCACACACCTGGGCCAGCAGGTGGGCCTGTGTCCTCCATCCCCAGGAAGTGAGCGTGTGCGCAGCCCGACAGGCGGTCTCTACCCTGCATTGTTTTGCGTGCCTGTTACAGTGCTGCTTCCGGGCCAGCGGGCAGCATGGAGCTTAAAGGCCCTGGGTCTCACAGGGCCGGTGTGCAGTCTGAGGCCCAGACCTGGTGGCTTGAAAACACACCAGGCACACGTACGTGTGAGCCCCAAATCCTGAGACGGGCAAAATGGAGAAGGGGTTGATGGTGCCAGTCCCCGCGGCGCTTACTCGCTCCCTCTCCCCCTCCCTCCCTGTGTGCACACACCCTTTGGGGAATGAAAGCCAAACAAGGTGGAGCCCTGCGTCTGTGTCCTGCAGCAGTTGGCACAACGCCATGACAGCCAGTGCCAAGAGGCCCCACGTTGTGAGCCCTGCGTCCACACACCGTCACATCTCACATCTTCACGGGCACCCAAGGCCACTGCGGCAGGAACTGTGCCAAGCCAGACTCAAAGCTGGCAGACTGCCGCCTCTCTGGATGGGCTTCGTGGCAAAGCGTGCGTCGATGCCAGCGTTCCGGACCCGTCTCCACTGCACGTCTCTGCAGTGTGCCGTGCAGAGCCTGCCTAAGCCCAGTGTCAACAAGGAGCTTCTCCAGCTGACCCTCGCTGCCGGGCTTCCGGGGCTTCTGTGGCTGACACACTGCAGAATCCCACCGCGAGCGAGCTACCTGGAAGCCCGTGGGAAACCAGCACAGCAGAATCTCCTAGGACAGAGGCGGTGGCTGTCTTAGGCCATCTTGGCCAGAAAGCCCTGTCCTTGGAAGATGGACACTGCTGAGAAGCACTGCCTGCCTTCCAAGCTCACCTCTCCCCAGGTGGGGGTGTGTGCCAGAGCGAGCTGTTCAGTACCCAGCGCCGCGCCGAAGGGATTTGCTCGGCCCAGCCACTTAACACCAGCTCCTTCTGACCGGATGGCGCTGCCCCGCGCAGGGCACCGGCAGCTCTGGCCCATTCGAAAGAGTCCTGAGCCCAGTTTTACCAAACTGTGCCCTTGGCAAGCAGAGTGGGGCCCCGTGTCGCAGGCTGCCCCTTCGGAGGTCTGAACACCGCTGCAGCTCTGCCAGCCACAGGTGCACATCAGAGGGCTTAGTGCAGTGAAGGCCAAGCAGCACTGGGGGACTTTCTTTTCTCCTTTTCATTCTTTCTTTCCTTTTTTAAAAGAGGTTTTTGCCTTAAGGTGTGTGCGCTTTCTGGAAACAGAGAGGCACAGTGAGTGGGAGGGGTGGCTACACTGCAATCTCTTCTCCATTCTCTGGGATTGTGGGCATGCACACGGGTGCCAGGTGTGATTTTTTTCTTTTCCTTTTTTTTAAGAGAGGAGTTTGCTACAGGGTGCATGTGCTTGCTGGAAAGACAGAGAGAGAAATCACCCCCCGGGGGTGTGTGTGGCCACACTGCAATCCCTTCTCTGTTCTCTTGGGATCTTGGATACGCAGGCACATGCACCGGGCATGAGTTTAAGCTGCCAAGTCCAGGACTTGAACTGCAGTCGACTACATGGGAATCCAACAAAGTAACCATTATGCCATCTGCTGGTCCCCTCTTTTACTTCCTTTTTAGATTTGCCAGAAGACTGGTGCCTCCGCAAGAGAGGGGGAAGCACCCCAAGGGACCTGGTCACCTGGCAATCCCTTCCTCCATCTCTCCTTGGGAATTCCAGGAGGCACCCACAATGCCTGGGTGTCTGCCAGCTGCCTCCACAGGACTGAACCAAACCTGTGGCTGGGAATGTCGGAAGCAGCTGCTTTCACCACTAGGTCATAGCGGGCCTGAGAACATGTTCTCTGACCTCTTCAAGGAGTGCCGAGCTGCAGTCCGCAGCAGCTATGCACAGGTGTTCCCTTCGCCGGAGCACGTGAGCAGGGGAGTAAAGGCAACACGTTCAATGCCACTGCTGCCACGGCATACGGAGCCCAGGAGGGGTGGCCTCGCTCCCGCCCTTTGCTCCCGCCTGCGTCCCCTGGGCGCTGCCCACAGGGCGGCAGTCTGCAGGCCCGAGCTCTGGCCAGGGACTGAGGGAAGGCCGCCTCGGCGCCAGCAACACCCCGCGCAGCTGCGGGCCGAGGTCAACTCTGCCTCCAGCAGAGTCCTGGGCCGGGCTCTGGCTTCGCCTCCACCAGATCGTCGAAGCTGCCCCCCTCCCTACCCCTGCGGCCCAAGGAGCCCCTGGGCGCTTCCAGATAGCGACTGCCAACCGGAACTGCAGGGCAGACGCGGCTGCTGCCTAGGCGGCCCCGGACCAGGGAGGCGCAGGACTCGGGGCGCCGCGCTACGCCGGCCTGACCGGCTGAGGGCCGGCGAGATGGCGCGCCCGGGGACAGGGTTCTGAAACAGTCTGGCGCAGGGTCCCAGGGCAGCGTCCGGAGCGGGGTCCAGGGGGCAGGGGAGGCCGGGCCACGCAGGACCCCTGATTCTGCGCGCGGACAGGAGCTGACCGTGGGGCTGGGGGTGCGGGGGACCGGAGCGGGGCAAGGCCGGGCGCCGACTCTGGCGAGCCCTCGGCCTGCGGCGCACTCACAGTAAAGGAAAGCTAGCGCCTTCAGGAGCACGATCCTGGTCAGCCAGAAGGTGCCTACGCGGAGCCGGGCTGAGCAGGGGGCGGGATCGCGCCCCGGAGCAGGGCGGCGGGAGCCCCGCCCACCAGGGCCCTCCCACCGGCCCCGCCCACGCGTGGGCATCGCGGCCCCGCCCGCCTCTCCGCGCCGCGCAGTGAGGGCGGGGAGGGGAGTCCGGGAGAAGCGGGACCCCGTCGGCCTGGGTTCCGGTTCGCTCGTCGGTTCGGGCGGTCAGTGTGGACGAGGCCCCGCCCGCCCCGGCCCTCCCAGGCCAGGTCCTAGGCTGGACGCAGCGTTTCGGAGACCGGGTGGGCCCGGCAGCTACCGTGCCCGTGCGGGGGGCCGCGGTGCCTGCGGGCCACGTGCCTCCAGGTGTCAGCCCCGTGGGGCCGGCGGGTCGGGGGCTACCCGCTCGCCGCCTCCGCCGCAAGCACGCGCCTCCAGTCCCGGCGCAGGGCCGCTCCCCGGGCAGGCTCCTGAGGCCCTCAGAGGCTGGGAGGGGATGCGGGCAGGGAGGGCCGCGTTAAAGCCTGGGGCTTCCTGGGGGAGCTGGGGCGGGGCTTCCTAATTCAGTTGTCGGAGCGCTTTGCGCGTTCAAGACCCTAGTCTGCGTGTTGCAAATGTTGCAAATGCCTCTCCCGGCTTGTTTCTGCTCTCGCATCTCGCCTTTAGCTTCCCAGTTTGGTTCCTAGTGTTTTGCCATAAAGTTCCTCACTTGTATGTTCGAGTGGCCTGTGGCTACTGCTTTTTTAATTATTTGCTTAATCGATCCTCCTGTTGGGGTAGTGCCTTAGATGTGCATCTTGCCGGGTGATTTTAAAAACATTATTATCATTTTGGTTTTTTATTTCACTGTTTTGCTATAGGGTGCATGCACCACCAGAAAGACAGAGTGAGAATCAGCCCGGGGGATGGCCACTCTGCAACCCTTTCCCCACTCTCCCTGGGGTCTGGGCCTGCACACACATGTCCCAGTGTGAGTTTCCAGCCACCAGGTCTGTCTGGGACTGGGTCCAGAGCTTCAGCAACTGCAGTCGCCCACGGGGGAGTTCAGGGCCTTAACCACTAACCACCTGCTGGCTTTTTTTTTTTTTTTTGGTCATTGGGCACCTGTACTCGCTGGAGACAGGGCGGGAAAATGAGAAATCACCTGGGGGCGGGGGTGGACACAATCCCTTCTCCATTCTCCTCTCAGGACTTTGGGGACACACACATGTGTGCCCAGCATGATTTTTCAAGCCACTGGGCCCAGGGCTCGAACCACAGCTGACCATGTGGTCGTCCAGTGCCTTAACCTCCATACCACCTGCTAGCCCCAGGACTTTCTTTTAGGTCTCTCTTCCATGAGGGGCTAGGCCCAGCTGGGAGCCCTGGCAAGGCTCCAGTGGGGCAGCACGTGCCTGGGGGCTCGAAGGGGGGAGGGGGGAGACCCTGTGCTCCCTCCCCCCAGGAGCCCGCCACCCTGCTGGCCTCTCCTCCGCGGCCGGGTGCTCGGGTGGGCTTCAGCACAGCCTCTGAAGGATGGGACAGGGGCTGCTGGCCCTGTCTGGGTGCCGTGCTGCTCTGGATGGGAGGAAGGCTGCCCCTGCTGTCAGGTGGGACCTGGTGGCTTTCCAGGTGGGGACAGTTCTCACAAAGAGTGCTTTGTCCGCAGCTTCCCCTGCGGGGGCTACATTGTTCTCCCAGAGGAGGACAATAGGGCATTGTGCACAGCAGAAAAGGGCCCTTGTTGCCCTCCAGATCTGCTGGGCTGGGCTCCTCGGCTCTGCGCTGGGCCCCCTCTGGACTTGCTGGGGTGGACCAGCCCAGCAAAAGGGTCTGCTCAGAGCTCGAGTTCTCTCCGGGTTCCTGGGTCCTGCTGACCCCCGTTCTGGAACACTGGCCAGAGGGCCGCACCCCTCCGTCTAGAGCTGGGCGAGGGCAGGTCTCGCAGGGCCTGGCTCGGGTCTTGCCTGTCTAGTCCTCTTCAGGAGAGGGCTGGGGCTGGGGCACCTTTCAGCCGACGGAAGGAGCACAGCCGACACTCGCCTCCTGGGGTCAGCCTCGGAAGCGTGGAGCTGAGCGAGAGACACCGAACACGAAGGCCACTGCACAGCTCCCTGATGGAGCCGCCCCAGCATGGCCACGGAGCCCAGGGGGCAGGGTGTAGAGCCCCCCGGGGTGTGGACCCCCCCCCCCCCCCCCGGCTCCCTTTGGGGCGATGAGGCTTCTTGGAACTAAACAGGTGGTTGTGCAACTAAGAACATGCTGGGTGCCGCTGAGCCTTCACTTGAACTGGTTAATGGGGTGCCTGTGAATGTCCCCTCATGCTTGTAGTTTGTAGGTGGGGTGCTGTCCCTGTGCGGCTGCCCAGCGAAGGTTCCGGGCTGCCCTCCGGCGAGCACGGGATGCACTCGTAGAAGTTGTTGGCACACTAGGGACCAGCAGTTGGCCTTCTGGTTTGGTCATCACTGGACTCCCACAAAGTCGACTCCTGTTCAAGTCCCAGATCCAGCAGCTTCAAAGTCACGCCAAGTGAATGTGCGTGTGCGTGCTCAAGATCCAGAGAGGAGAATGCAGAAGGGATTGCAGGCGTGGCCCTTGGGGTAAGGGGTGATTCCTCACTTTCTGTCTCTCTGGTGAGCGCACTTGCCCTATAGCAAAAATCTCTTTTAAAAAAGATAAAAGAAAGGTAAAAGCTAAACTAAATGAATAAATAAATAAAAGTTAAACAAAAGCAAAACAAAGAACTACCCAGCCCTGGGCCTCAGAGTCCCGGGAGGTATGGCATTTTCCTGTTGAAATAAGCTGTCTTTACCTCAGACTCCCCTCTGCCTGTATTAAGAAGCATTTAGCAGGGCCAGCTGGCGTCGTGGTGGTTAAGGTGCTGGATCCACATGGCCGACCTCACGGTTCAAGTCCTGGACCCGGCAGCCTGAAAATTACACAGGTGCTTGTGCACCTAAAACCCTGGGGGGGGGGGGAAAGGCGAAGGGGTG